TGGGATGACTCCATACTGACCTCCTCTCTGCTTCCTAGGATGACCACGGCTACATCTCCCGGGAGTTCCACCGCCGCTACCGCCTACCCTCCAACCTGGACCAGTCCTCCGTCAGCTGCTCACTCTCTGCTGATGGCATCCTGACCTTCAGTGGACCCAAAATGATGTCCGGCCTGGACTCCATCCACAGCGAGAGGCCCATCCCCGTGTCCCGAGAGGAAAAGCCCACCTCCGCCCCCTCCTCCTAAATACGAGGGGTCCCCCGGAGCCCGCTCATCATACGCTGTACCCCTTCCTACCCCAGGTCTCTGCACGGACCGCCAGGCCAAATAACCAATAAATGTTTCCTCAACCAGCTTCCTTGTGTCTGCCGCTCACTGGGGGGGACCATGATGACCGGGGGTGGGGGGGTCCATAACGACACTCATGAGGTTTCTGGGAGCTGCATTCCATCCTTCCTCATGGCTTGTCCAGGTTTCTGGGTCTACACGGGGGAGGGGTATACAGGAGGGTGGAGCTTGTAACTGGTTCCCTCACCGAGAACATCCGGTGGTTGGTTTCCCATCATTGGGAAGGGAGGAGGGGAGGTGACCACCCAGTGTGGACCACGAGGCCTGCTACCGCAACCTTCACCGAGCTTAGTGTAATGGGGCAACCAGGATCTCCGCTTGCTCACGATTGGATGATGGAAGTCAGCTGAGCTTCACCTCATTCCCTAAGAGTGAACAAGCCCCACCAGCCCCAATGACTTCTCATTCTATGAAGGATCATTCTCTTCTGGACAATTTCTGACCCCGATGGACAATCCGCCATCTTGGCATTCATTGGGATTGGTCGGGTTGTATTACACGTCACCGGCTCGGTACACTTGGAGTATGTTCCTCATGTACGGGGGGTTTGTTCTGGAAGGTCCGATCATGGGGGAACTCTCATCTGATGGAGGATGCAGACGCCCATTCCAACCCGGTATAGAGGGGCTGCCGGGACACAGGGACGGTGAGGACCCAGCCGTACAGAGGTCCCCTTAGGACAAAGCTCTTCTATGATGGGGGGGAGGTGTGTTGGGG